CCGTTCATGACATTTGGATGTGCATTCTTTATCCATGGCTAATTGACGTTCATCATCTAATCTGAAATATGATCAAGCTATTTATGTCAACACGGAGCTTCAAAATCTAACATTTTAAATATTCAAACACTGTGATGAAATATATGGATATAACAAATAACATTTAAGTGAACCATACGGAGATAACAAAAAGTATTCAAGAACAAAAGTCCATAAAACAGTTCAAAATTGACTTAGAGCAAACATGGACCTCCAAAACATCGGAGGTTGCATCAGGTGCAATTGAGGAGTGCGCATTCCCTACCATCCGGTCACGCCCACCGTGTCCTGATCAGGAAATAACGGAAAATTCCGTCGTCAATTATGAAGTGTGAAAATAAAGTGCAGTACAAGTTATTTACAAAATTTAACCTTCTTTTTCTCTCCAACTTCTTTTGCTCCGCTCGTTTTTCCTTCTCAGCCTTCATTTGTTGTTGAAATATCTTTAAATCTTGCCTTCTGTAATCTTTCTTCACTTGCATATCTAAACGTCTTTGTGACTCTGAAATAAGACAAATTATTCCTTATTCCTTCATAAGTCAATATGTCATTTATTGATTTAACATGACATGATAGTTATTGCATAAACGAAGGTGTTAGAAACGTTCTTTTGGGAGCGCGCCTTTTCCATGAAACCGGAAAAACATTCCAGATAAAAACTTATTTTCTGAAAAAATTACAAAAATGGGTGTTTGCGGGTGATTGTTAAAAATAAACAGCAATATCAATTTTCTAAAAGACGCCTCACGAAGCATACCTCTCTTTGGCATGGTTACATTAGGAAGACCTTTTTAAATAAAAATTACAAATTGCACAATTGTAATGAAAAAAAGCAACATTTGTAATATTTTACCTGTTCCTAAGATATTCAAGCAAGGTCACTTGGAGATATTTAGTCGAAAGATATATGGCCGTTTTAAGGGGAAGAAGGATGTATGGTCACATGACTCAGTTTAATTACGTCATAATCTCTGAGAAATTATGTACAAAACAAAATACAGTGCTTGTATTATTTTTTGACTGTTTGTTTGAGTTCACCATCTTTCATAAAAATCTAAAATAGTTAAAACTTTATTGCAAATATTATCAAATTACGGAATAAATTGATCCACTCTTCTGTTTCCCTACACTGCGCGTCCAACGAGTTGTTGTCGGCATAGTGGATCTCTTAGTAAAACACGGACAGTATAATATCCTGAAAACGGGTCATGATCGGTACATGATGGAATATTTTGTAAATTAGGGAACACAAAAAACATTTTATGGTTGTTGACGGAAATGTTTAGTAGGTATGTCTTATTTCGCTTATTTCGCAAATCTGTGACGTCAAAGTTGGGTTTTCCCGTACTCGAAAAATGTAAACATGGTATGTTTTTCTCAGGCTCATGTCTTGTATGCCCTGTGCAATACTGTAGCAGTGGAAAACATTACGATGTTGTTAATTTCACTATGTTCACGATTTAAGAATTTTCCGCAAATTTTTAAACCATTGTGAATATTATATCACGTCATTTCTGCCAAAAAACAGTTACAGTACCTGAAAATAATACCACCGGAAAGGTAACTTTCTTTCAAACCGTAAAATTTTAGACATGTGAAAATAAACACGACTACAGTATTGAGCTCAGCTTCACCAATAGATATTTTTACAGATGATTAATAACATGATGGTCAATCTTACATTTCAACGTAAATTTTCAAGTATTGAATGATAGGATTTTTTTAACATTTTTTCGGTTATTCACGTTGTCTTTAAAAAGTACGTAATTTTCCGTCTCCAGATGCGGTACTTTCCGTCTCCAGATGCGGCGTGACAAATGAATATTGTTTTTTTTTCTAATTTCTAACCCCATTCATACTCTAAAATATTTTAAGAGACAGATGTTCGCTGACGTATTTTTTATCTATGCTGAAAAATCCATTATGGGCCGATTAATGGGCCCAGAAAGAATCCAACCTGCACTTAGACACTGTGGAATATAGTATTTGTCATTCAAAATCTCAAAAATAAGTCTAGAAACGTTATGATATATCTGCTTTAAATTTTGAGGCACATAATAAATTAGAGATATACAAAATACGGGAAAAAAATGAACGACAGGTACTTTTTCAGCTAAAGGTCATTCTTCCTCTTAAAACCATTTATGAATAATCAAAATCAAAGCATAGAAATAAATGAATCAAACGTCATTATATGTCATGGAGCACCGTTTTACCATAATGTATGTAGACAGAAAATTTATCTAAAGGGACTGAAATGCTTCTCGATGTTGCTGTGCATTGCATAAAAAAGACGTATCAGTTTAGAAATTGTCATAGTTTCGTAATAGTTAAAGGAATAACATTTTTTATACAGATATTTACAGCAGTGTAAAGAGTAATGGATTTTTAACCAAATATTTTCCGATTAAAAACTCTGTGAGACAAGGTTGTCCTATTTCTGCATTATTGTATGTATTGTCATCAGAACCTTTAAGTTGTTATATAAAAAGTAATACAAGCATTGTAGGAATTCCTATACCAATGTCTAATGAACGTGCATTGATGTTTCAACATGCTGATGACACAACTCTGGCAACATGTGAGAAGAAATCTATTTTTGAAATTTTGAAAATGTTTGATTTATATGGAAAAGCTTCTGGTGCAAAGATTAACAAACAAAAATCTGAAATAATGTGTATTGGAACTGCAAAGTTATTAGAGCATGAAAAAAAAATTACTATGTATTTCAGAAACAAATGTAATGAAAATTTTAGGTATATATTTTAAAAAGAGCAAACAGGAATGTAAAAACCTAAATTGGAGAGACAAAGTGCAGAAAATAAAACAATTATTAAATTTTTGGAGATTAAGAAAGTTAACAATTCAAGGAAGAGAAGTAGTTATAAATACATTATTCATGTCAAAATTGTGGTATTTTTGAGTGTAATATCAATGCCTAAATGGGCTATAGAAAGCATTCAAAGGAAATGTACAAACTTTTTGTGGAATTATGGTAAACATTTAGTCTCCTACAAAACAATAATTGGAGAAAAAAGAGAAGGTGGTTTGAATGTTATTGATATATAATATGTTAAAATGTTAGCCTTCAGACTGAAGACATTAGCAAAATATATGTGCAATGAAAAATATTTTTTATGGAAGTTAACATGTAGATATTTTTTGTCAAAAATTTGTGGTTTGAGAGCAGGGTTTGAGTTATTTTTATTAAGATTTAATAAGAAAGATCTTCAGTTTCTCCCTCAGTACTATAAGGAGATGATGGACGCTTGGTATGCAATAGAAGATAGTATAGAATACAAGAAAGATAATAATGATATTTATGATTATTGTTTATTTTGTAATCCACAAATTGTTACAAATAGTAAGATGTTGAAATGGGATCGTTTCATCCGAGCAGGTATTTCGCATGTAAAAGACATTACTTATGAGGTTATACCTGGTTTTCTACCTGTTTCTTGTATTATAGAAATTATTCAAGAGGAGAATCCTGATATATATGTTAAAACTATCAAAGAAAATTATTTATGTTTGAAATCAGTTATTCCAGATGAATGGAGAAAATATGTTTGTGAGACTGAATACACAAGAAATAATTTTATGCCTGATTTTTGTATCAAATTCAAAGATCAAAATATTGTATTCAACTCCTGTATTGTACGGATATTTTATAGATTACTTATTGCAAAGCTTTTTTACAACCTGTTTCAAATCAGTTCTGGTGTAATAAATTTCAAATGGTTGATCAAAATACCATAAAACAAAGATGGTTGATTTTATGGGAAACACTCAAACCGCCAGACATTATTGAAATAGACTTTAAAGTCTTTCATAATATTATTTTTACGAATGAAAAATTATTTAAAATTGGAAAGGTCGAGTCTAATGTTTGTGCTATTTGTGAATCAGGTACTGAGGATATGTTTCATCTTTTTTTAGAATGTAAAGAACTGCAAGATTTTAAAAAGAATTTTGTTATTTATCATCTAGAATCGTTCTTGAAAGACTGTGAAAATAGTGTGTATAATACATTGAATTTTGAAAATATTTTTCTAAACGGTTTTACAATGAAACTCAAACATGTTAATTTTTTCTTTCTGAATTTTTTTCTATCAATGTGTAGAATTTCAATTTACAAAAGAAGACAAATATATTTACAAAGTGACAAACTTATTGATGTTACAAAATTGTGCAAATATATGTTGAGACATTATATTTCATATTATTTTCATTATTTGTGCACTGATGAAAGCAGACAACGAATATTTTATCAAAAGTTTTTGAACAGAAATCATATTGTGAAAGAAACTGAAGGCATACTTTTATTTATTTTTTAAACAAACTTATGTGTTTTTTATTTTCCATTTTAATATTGCTGTAATTTAAATGTTATAAGTGTATGCAAATGAAGATGAATATATCAATAAAAGAGAAAAAAAAAATAGCGGGGATGTTGAAGCACTTAGTTATTTGTCGCGGATGTTCGAATGACGATTTTTTGAGTTCAGGTTGAAATTTAGATAAATATATTTTTTTCACTAAAACAAAATGAATAGATAAGATAATGAATTTATTTACGGTAAATTAATATATTTCCTATAATTAACAAGTTTTCAATATATATGTGTATATAATATTTTGATATGGCTATTCTGCATGCAAAAACAGTTAAAAGGAAAGGTAAAGCGTACCGTCTCCAAACCCCTGAAAACATATTTGATAGAACAATTAACATGCAGAATGAAAAGTAAAAAAAATATTGAAGCGATAACAGCAAGGTCTAAAAATATAGAAATTGTCATTTGGACGGTACTGCACAAAGTTTAAATGATTAGGTACATGTAAATCGTATCGTACAGCTATGAAATTTCCGATATGCTTACAGCGCGACAAAATCCGTGTTGGCATATGACTCGCCTAATCCACCCAGATTCTTTGGAAAAAACTATTTCATTCCTGACTTTGGTGGGACGATCAATTAATAGCTTTTTGATTTTTCTTTTTTTATGATTTTTTTTAACTCTTTTAATTAAGACTACGATTCACGTAAATTGTAAAAAAAAAACAATAATAGTTTAATACTTATTGTGCTTTTTCAAAGCTAAATATTTTTTTAAAATCAAAATACCCTCGGTCGAAGTATAAACATAGAACAAAAGGATTTTTTTTACGTTACACACTTTATACCTAGAAATAGTATGCCAATTAAAGTTGTACTTCAAGATTCAAAGATATGTTTTTATTCCTTTTTCTTTCATTTTTGCTTTGTACATGTATACGTTTATAATTTTTTGACATTTTTTTCTTTTATTAAGATATAACATTTTCTGTTTGAACATATAAAAAAAATTAAAATCCAATGTTAATTCAATATACCAATTCCCTTTTAAGCTTGTGTTTTAATACAGATTTTGAAATATATACATACCATAATTTCGCATACAATCTGCAAGGTTCTGTAAGCTTTTCGGAACACATTTTGATGCAGTCTTTTTTTGCTTATTTAATAGAGTTGGATCAACACCGATATCAAGAAGTCTTTGGACAAGAGAAAAGCGAAAATCTGATCTACAGCACATCGTCCTCTGATCCACGGCAAGATGGAGGACAGTGTTGTTCTGGCCATCTTGTTTACTTTCCTCTTTTCTTTCTTTTGCTTTCCTGAAAACTTCTTCAAACAAGTCCATTTTACCTAGTAAAAAGACGGAATTTATTATTTATAGAATATTTAAAAAACGTTGATTATATTTAATTTTTTTTATTTTATTTTTTTTCGGGGGGGGGGGGGGGGGGGGGGGGGGGGGTGGTAACAACGCTTGCACATATAAAATAAACATCCTTATTTTTTTCATATTTCAGCAGCTCTCAAATCCTTTACAGTTCACCTGAGCCGAAGGCTCAAGTGAGCTTTTTTGATAAAAATTTGTCCGTTGTCTGTCGTTGTCCGTTGTCTGTCGTTATCGTTGTTGTCGTTGTCGTTGTTGTCGTCGTCGTCGTAAACTTTTCACAATTTTATCTTCTTCTCAAGAACCACTGGGCCAATTTCAACCAAACTTAACACAAAATATCCTTGGGTGAAGGGGATTCAAGTTTGTTCAAATGAAGGGCCACGCCCTTTTCCAAGGGGAGATAATCATGAATTTGTTAAAAATTAATGGAATTTAAAAAAAAAATCTTCATCTCCAGAACCGCTGGGCCAGGAAAGATGAAACTCATGTGAAAGCATCCTTAGGTAGTGTAAATTCAAGTTTGTTCAAATCATGACCCCCGGGGCAAGGGTGGGGCCAAAATGGCTGACCCAAGTTTTACATAGGAATATATAGGAAAAATCTTTAAAAATCTTCTTCTCCACAACCACTAGGCCAGGAAATATGAAACTCATGTGGAGTCATCCTCAGGTTATGTAGATTCAAGTTTGTTCAAATCATGACCCCTTGGGCAAAGGTGGGGCCTAAATGGCCGACCCAAAATTTACATAGGAATATATAGGAAAAATCTTTAAAAATCTTCTTCTCCAGAACCACTGGTTCAGGAAAGATGAAACACAGGTGGAATCATTCTCAGGTAGTGTAGATTCAAGTTTGTTCAATTAATGAGCCCCGGGGCAAAGGTGGGGCCAAAATGGCTGACCCAAGTTTTACATAGGAATATATACGAAAAATCTTTAAAAATCTTCTCCACAACCACTGGGCCAGGAAAGATGAAACATGTGGAGTCATCCTCAGGTAGATTAGATTCAAGTTTGTTCAAATCAGGACCCCCGGGGCAAGGGTGGGGCCAAAATGGCTGACCCAAGTTTAACATAGGAATATATAGGAAATATCTTTTAAAATCCTTCTCCACAATCACTGGGCCAGGAAATATGAAACTCTTGTGGAATCATCCTCAGGTAGTGTAGATTCAAGTTTGTACATATCATGACCCCCGGGGATAGGGCGGGGCCAAAATTGCCGACTCAAGTTTTACATAGGGATATATTGGGAAACCTTTTAAAATCTTCTTTTCAAGTACTTCAAAGCTATGATTAGTGATATTTATATGGAATTATTCTCAGGTAGATAAGATTCTAGTTTGTTCAAATGATGAACGCCTGGAAGGGGGGGGGGGGATAAATTCAAGCCTGAAGTGCTCAGGTGAGCGCTGTGGCCCCTGAGCCTCTTGTTTTAAACAGTGATCTTTATTGCTGAATTATAAACGGTTTGAAATGAGATGTAGAAATGACGATGTGAAAATTAACGGTAAATGAAAAATATTATTCTTTTTTTTAAATTATCTACTTTTATCTTTTATCCATAAAACTTGTAGGAAAAACCTCTTGAATTTGAAAAATTTATGTAGAATTCGCAAAGAAATTTGATAGAAAAGTTCCTTTACCTGTTGCAAGTGTTAGTCTGACACATGCATGAAGGTAGGGTTCACCCTTTTCTATATGTAGTGTGTGAAAGTCACTTCCATTGTACAATAATTCCAATAAAAAATGAATGATCCATGGATGACTTGGTGCTTTGTTAATATTACATAAAACTTTTAAATCGAAATCATGTTGAAAGTTTTCGAACCATTTTGATAAATCTGTGTATATTCTTTTAGCTTTCTTCCAGTCTCCATTTTGAATAAGTCTGTAAACGATCTTTATCCATTCAACCTTTCTAATGCCTTTTAGGTTTCGCACGTGGAAAAATTGAATTTCTATGAAAAAAAACTTCAACTTAACAGACATATATGCCAAGAAATTTTGCATCCTTTATTATATATACGAGGGTTGTCCTTTCGTGGAAAAGCTAAAATTTAAAATAAAATGTCCTAGATATTTAATATTAGCAATTTATAATTTTTTACTTAATGTGAATTACAAAAAGTAACATTTTATTAAATTTCTAATATATGTACATATAAATTACAATAATGATTTCATTATGGTAAAGATTTGCACTACCTTAGACAAGAAGTTTTGAATATTATTTCACCCATTAAATCAGAATAGTTTTTGCATATTTGATGACGGATTGTAGTAGCATAGGAAAAATAAAATTTCTTAATGAGGAACGTTGCATGTATTTAATTTTTTATGTCTGATAACATCAATGATTTACCTTTTAGTATTCCTGGAATGAGTGTAAAGAAACATGTGGCGTAACAAACAGTATTCAAGATCAAAAACTTATATTCCGAAAAATGAAAGGTCATTTCTATACATAATTAGAGTAAAGAATAATTTTCAACACTATTTTTAATATATGTTATAAATTCATACCTTTGATGTCACAGCTTGTGTAGGTTTTGGCGAGTTCATATAGTAAATCATCGTAATTTGCATTTGACAAGCCGTATGCAATACAGAATGTTTTAACTGCTACACTATATTGCCGTAGACCAGCATAGGCTTTACCAATTCTAAATTGAGCCTAAAATATATTTAATAAATCATGAAATAGATAAATATTCATGCACTTGCTTATCAATTTAGTTTGATAAGAAACGATTACACGTGCACATTTTTTTGTTGGGAATAACGTACATATACAGACCTGGAACGACTTTCCAAGGAATGATATGGAATGCTTGCTCTCTTCAATGACCTTTTTGAATTGCTTAAAATTAAGATAACAATCTGCCATCTTGCAAAATATCGAAATGACTTCACTCTCTTTGGCGATTTTCATGAACTCCTTTGCTTTTCTGTATGATTTCAACGCGGCCTCGTATTTTCTTTCTTTGAACATTCTATCACCTTCGTTCTTTAATGTTTCAAATCCATTTTGTGCCAGTTCTGTTGTGTTACTGGAAGAAAGGCTATTACCTGTTTTAACTTGTTCTTGATTTTGAGGATTTCCAGTATTTTTGTTTATTTCTCGTTTTATAGATCGGTCTTGCCCACGATTTACGCTTGTTGATACCGATCCCTTTCCTTGCCAATGGTTGTTTTCAGTTTTCATTTTAGAGCTTTTTTCGCTGCTTTTTTCGTCATTTTGTGGTGCGTTTATTTCTAAAAGTAATCAATGTATAACAAATATGTGAAAGAATAAGAGATACAAAGAAAAAAGTAAAATTATTTCAACAGGTCGAGGAAACTACCTTATATGGATATTGTTGTCATTGCGCACAAAGGTGCTCACAGCTAGCAATGATCCAATCCAGTGAATGAGCCGAAAAACATGATTGTCTACTACATGTTAATTTTTATTACAAACACGTTTGTTAAGGGAAATTTAGGATGCGATTTCAAATGACTGCTGGAAAGCCAATTTACAGTTTTTTGAAACGTGTTTGAGAAAAATACGAAGAATAGGTACTAATTAAGAATTCCCATGATCACATAAACAATCAAAGCCAGTTTTCCTTGTTAAATAGAACTTTGCAGTACCGCTCACAAGGTCTTCAAAAGTAAAAAATTAAAGGACTCCAGTAAATTTGCCATGTAACTGACTGAATTAGATGTAGCACAGTTATTTGTCATAATAAATTTAAAGTTCATGCAATTACAAAAACAACTTAAGTTGCATGTTTTTTTTTTTAATTTACCTCTATATCATTTCTCATGTGCATTGATCACAGAACGTGTATTGAGTAGCATATTGTATTTTCGAAGTTGTATACGTTGTAAACATTGTCCATACGTGAGCACTCAGTTTTTTTTTTTTTTTTTTTTTTGTACCGATGAATAGCCACGTGAAATTGACTTTTCACTGACAGTACAGCGCGGGGAAAGCTGTAAACAAACGGATTTGTACAATGGAGTGGAGAAAATCCTAATTTTTTTATCATTGTTATTCATTGGTATGTAAATTTAGGCATGGGATTAGTAGATAATAATGTACATATTATATTTTGCGTGTAAAATGATTGGAAAAATGCATCATGTCTTTCCGAGAGCGATTTTTAAAAACACTGGCTTTTCGAAACACGCATGTAGTATTTTTGTAGTTACCCATAATGAAACTCATTGAGCTGATTGGTCGAATAGTCAGTCACGGTAGTTCTTCACTTAACATGTTAATTTATTCAGACTTCACAGAAAATAGTTTCCTCGACCTGTTCAATCAGAAGCAAAACATTGCCATTATAATACTAAAAGAATACCATTAGTTTTTCTTTCCAGAATTTCAAATACTCTAGGATATTTGGCCTGATCAATGTAGTCTACAGCGGTTTTCCCTTCTTTATCAAGGAGATCAGCTGAAACACCATAATGGAGTAGCATATCGACAACTTCTGGGAAAATGTCGATTTGAGATGGTCTAGGCATTTTCACAATGGAATGAAGCGGCGAATTCTTTAAACTATCATAAATATTCACCTTCTTTGAAATCTCCTCCATGTGTCTCAAAAGTGCAGCATTTCCTATAACATGTACATGTAAACAAAGAAAAATAAAATATAGGGTTTTGTCGCTTCAAGAATTGAATTTGGTTTGTATTTTAAACAAGGTGTCGTGACTTCACATTTTTTGAAAAAGGCACCATTGTTCAACATACACTAACTTAGCATGCTTTGTTTGGTTATCCTATAGACAGAGGAAGAGAACAAATCAAAAGCATTTTAACTAATGATATAAACGAGTACCTGGAGAAGTATCAGTCACATTAACCAGCGATGGGGTATACGATTAGAATCCGATGCGTTTTTTGATGAAAATAGCATGGTTGCCGGCCGGGAACCACTAGTGATCGGACGGTGACTGAGGCCATTTTGCCAATCGGTGGGGTCATCGGTAGGTAATAATTCGTAGTTAAAATTCAGCGATGTCTCCAACGATGCTTCACATCGCTCCTCATCGGTAACCCATCATTAACACATCTTTCAAGGATCGGCCTATGTATAGCCGAGCATCGACCAAAATCCGTTGAATCAGAGGTCATCAGGGGGTTGAGTGGTGTTCAACAGATAACTACCGATCACCAGTCGATGTTCGACCAAACATTGGCCGGTAGTCGATCGATGTACGAACGATGTTTACCAATGTATGAGCAATGTAATATACATCGACCGATTATCCTGGAACATCGTTTTTTGATTAGGAATGCATCGCTGGGCCTTTGTAAGTCCGGCCGGCAACCACGCCATTTTTATCATAAAAGGCACTGGTTGCCCATCGTATACCCATCGCTGCATAATGTGACTGATACTTTAAGGACTACTCGGCCGATGTGGACCGATGTTGGTGCATCGCTAACACCACGGATTACCACCGATTACCACCGGTCTACGGCTACCGGCCGGGAAATGTGACCTAGGCATTAACCAGTTAAGTACTGTCGAACGATGCGAGAATGGGTTTGTAAAACTGCAATTTATCACTCGACAGATTGAATACATTTTACATGGTAAATACAAAGAAAGTGATTGTTATATTGTCTTACAATGAAGACTAACACATTTCTCTACTTTTAAGTACCATTAGGCTAGACCTATAGTAGATCGACATGTTTTGATTAGTTTGCACACTTTATATAATTGATAGCTTTGATTGTCGGGGTTATACATGTTCTGAAGATTTTAGTTACAATAAACGCAATTAATAATTTTACGAGAGGTCACCAAAACAATGTTAAGCTTGGAAGTATATCATTTAAAATGATTAACAAGAGGCCCATGGGCCACATCGCTCACCTGAGAAGCTTTGACCATTCTGTTCTTTACCAGATTTTCCCTTGTTATACATAATGCATCCCCACACTACCCCACTGATCATACTTTAGACATTTTGAAATCTACACTACCCCATGACCCTTCCATTGGCACTTGTGGTTTAGCCTTTTTGGCTCAGTGGTTCCTGAGAAGAAGATTTTCAAAGCTTTTTCCTATATATTTCTTTGTAAAACTTTGATTCCCTTTAATGGCCCCACCTTTTCCCCGGGGGTCATGATTCCTACAATTTAGACACATTAACCCAGAATGCTTCCACATAAGCTTCACTTTTTCTGGCCCAGTGGTTCTTGAGAAGAAGATTTTCAAAGATTTTTCCTATATATTTCTATATAAAACTTTGATTTCCCATTTTGGCCCCTCCCTTCCCCCGGGGGTCATTTTTTGAACAATTGAGAATCTACATTATACCAGGATGCTTCTACATATGTTTCAGCTTTTCTGGCCCAGAGGTTCTTGAGAAGAAGATTTTCAAAGATTTTTCCTATATATTTCCATGTAAAACTTTGATTCCCCATTGTGGCCCCGCCTTTCCCCCGTGGGTCATGATTTGAATAATTTAAGATTCTATACTATACCAGGATGCTTCCATATAAGTTTCAGCTTTTCTGGCCCAGTGGTTCTTGAGAAGATTTTCAGAGATTTTTCCTATATATTTCTATATTAAAATTTGATTCCCCATTGTGGCCCCGCCCTTCCCCCGGGGGTCATGATGTGAACAATTTAGAATCTACACTACCCCAGGATGCTTCAAAATAAGTTTCAGCTTTTCTGGCCCAGTGGTTCTTGAGAAGAAGATTTTCGAAGATTTTTCCTATGTATTTCTATTTAAAACTTTGATTCCCCATTGTGGCCCCGCCCTTCCCCCGGGGGTCATGATTTGAACAATTTAAAATCTACAATACTTTAGAATGCTTCCACATAAGTTTCAGCTTTTGTGGCCCAGTGGTTCTTGAGAAGAAGATTTTTTAATGACCCAACCCTATTTTTGTCTTTTCTTTATTATCTCCCCTTGCGAGGGGATATGTCCCTTCATTTTTACAATTTAAATTCCCCTTTGCCCAAGGATGCTTTGTACCAAGTTTGGTCTAAATTGGCCCAGTGGTTCTTGAGAAGAAGTCGAAAATGTGAAAGTTTACAGACGGACGGACAGACAGACAGACAGACAGACGGACGGACAGACGGACGGACAGACGGACGGACGGACGGACGACGGACAAAATGTGATCAGAGAAGCTCACTTGAGCCTTCGGCTCAGGTGAGCTAAAAATCTATTAAATCACATAAGCTGAAAATATTATTTGAAAACAAGTGTTTTACTGGGAATTTCACAAATTATACAGTAGGTACGGAGTATCAAAATCGTTATTCTAATTGATTACGACATACATTGGAAACTGAAAAAGGACACTTAACGAAAGCCATTGTAAAATGGTGACTGACGACTATAAATTTATTTTCCTTCTTCGAGTGTATTATGCATTTTCTTTGATCTTAACTTAAAATTCTTTATTTATTTGTGCATTGCAAATAATGTTTATATTCAGTGTATTTGTGTATTACTACTACAGATTAGTAAAGAATTGGATAATTATTAAATAAAAGATATGCATAATTTTACGAAATATCATCCGAGTAACCGTATACTCGGTCAGAAGATTAACTGAGTAACCGTTACTAAAAATTCTCCGATTTGACAGCAATAATTTCAATTGATCAGTAATAATCAGCAAAAATCAGTAGTGCATTACCTCACAGAGACCCCAGGCCGTGAGGTCACGCTTAATTTTTTTTTAATTTTGGGCCTGTCTCAGAAGCGTAATGGTAAGGAACATTTTGTTTCATGATCAAGAGGCGTGGGGTAGATTATCACCCGAAAGTTAAAATTTCCTTCCTCCAAGTGCAAGGCATTAGAATTGGAAATTGCGCTGGCATTGAAATCTCAGATAGCGTACACGTGTAATGGTAGATATTGGCATGTTATAGAATCCCTCAGTATTCTGTTTTTATTAGCCCACCTAAGCCTAAGGCTCAAGTGAGCTTTTCTGATCAAAATTTGTCCGTTGTCTGTCGTCGTTGTCGTTGGCGTCGTTGTTGTTCTTGGCGTCCAAGTAAACTTTTCACAGTTTCATCTTTTCTCAAGAACCGTTGGTCCAATTTCAAGCAAACTTGGTATAAAGTATTCTTGGGTTAAGGGAATTCAAGTTTTCTATCAAATGAAGGGCCATGTTCTCTTCCAATGGGAGATAATTATGAATTAGTGAAAAATTAATGGCATTATAAAAAAAATATTCTAAAGAACCACTGGGCCAGGAAATTTGAAAATATGGGAGAATCCTTAGGTAGGCAGCGTACAATTAAATTTGTTTAATTGTATTTGCGAGTGACCTATAAAATTATGTTTGCGTGAACTGGTCAAATTTTGCTCACCCACGAACATTGGCCCCCCACAATTAAAATGATTCCGCAGTATGTAAGTCATATTGACATGTAAACATCCTCATGTATTGATTTCTTAATTTTTTCAAATCATGATTACCCTTTGGGGTAGGGGAAAACAACAGAAGGGTAAAGATCAAATTTCTGCAAAATGATATGTACAAACAAAATGTTTTTAAAGAAATCTATAAGAATTTTTTTTTCTCAAGACCTTCCTCAAGGAGTTGCAGAATTGAAATGGAGGCATTCTCAAGAAGTATTAGAATTCAAGCCTCTCAACCCCCACCCCTCAGTAAACATTTCTCCATTCTGATCTGATGTGTGCTTTTTCCTAGAAAGCCGATGTGCTCAGGTGAGCGATGTGACCCCTGGGCCTATTAATGCTCCATCTTGTATTTCTTGATCTGGAATACTGTTCGTTATCTCCATATGTTTCTTTCTATTAGATCAAAAGCATGTAACATATTCATGCACCCCTGCAAACTGCTAAAAAATAAAAAGCACTACCAGAGAGACAGAATAATGAGTTTTATCTTCAGCCAAATGCATTACAATTTGCATAAAACGGTATTTTAAAAATAAATGAATTTAACAAACCAGTAAGGATCGAGAATTTTGCTGCTGCATGTAATGGTGTGTCGCCTTCCCACTCTTTGAACCTCATTAAGTTGTTGCTTCCTTCTGGTTTTGTGGTTATATGTATAATAAGGGGAACAATCCATGAGCTAACAGTCTCTAAATTGTGCTGTCCAATGATGAATGCAAAAAGATTATCGTATCTTATCTTGCTGAAGTCTGTATCCCTGGCGATACCTTTTACTTCTGGAATAATCAATGATTTTGAAATATAGACATCAATATAATACGTATAAAAATTAAGAAAAGTCTTACGAAATAATAGACTAATAAAATACCATCATTGTTTTGTTCTATTCCCAAAACCAGTTGTTTTATGCATAACCATTCTGTATCCTTGCTGAGTTTTTGCAACACAGAAGGCCAAAATTGAACTGGGATGTCTGAGAAGGTAGTATACTTTTCCTTCTTTTCTGAATCTGGTAGTTGCATGAAATTAGAACAAAAACATTGAATAATTTCCTTATAGTATCATATAAAAATATTAGGAAAAAAAACACGAACATAATTTTGTTTAATCTTAATGAAGTTCAAAATTACCATTCGTATTCTTTCCAGGAAGTATTGAAATTATTTAAAATTCAAAAAAATAATATT